ACTTCTTTCTCTTTTACTCCGACGAAGGACTAGCGTCCGAAACGTCAGTAAGTTTTTTCATCTTTTCACGGTGTATAATTTACCTTTTCATCATTACGTATATTTTTAGTAAACTTTATTGAAGGGCTCTAATTAAGATGTTTCAGTTTCAAATTTAAAACCGGAAGTGTAAAAAAATGTAAAATGTAAAAGACTAGGTCAATAGTCCAAAATAGATATAACATCGACTTACCATAGTCTAACCAATAAGTGATGTTGTGTTTTTCCATTGTTTTGCCGATGTTTTGGACAGCATACAACAAATCCTTGTGCTTCTTTTTACTGAGGTAACACTCGTCATTATAAGCACCAGACACTTTTGGTAATAGATAAAAATGAAAGAGGACGACTGTGACAATAACGAGCAGCATGATAATGAACATTTTTTTGTAACGGAGAAATGGATATCTAAATCTCATGTAAGTCAGATATTTCCTTGGAATCATTTTCCGTTGCAAGGCCCTGTTGATCTGAAAAACAATGGAATGCGTTTCAAAACAACAACAAACAACAATAATATTAATAATACTATAATAAAATTTTTTTTWAATTATTCTACCGAAAAGCAAGCAGGCATGACCGTGAAACGTTAAATATACCCGCGAAAAATTTAGAGTGCAAACGATATAACCGTGAAACTTTAGTAATACTAAATATCACAATTTCATGCAAATTCTATTGTTTTCAAATTTTTAATTAGCACTATTTCGTACTATTTAGTAATTCTTCGTTTGCACGTGACGTCATAGAGCAAGAAAATAACAACTTAAAATAAAATTATGAATGCTATAAACTCGATTCTTTGATATGTTTTAGAGAACTATGATCTGACTAGGTGTAGAAAATTTCAGATCGTTTCATCGCTTTGTTTTCGAGTTGTGTGAATCCTATCATTTTGTGATCGGTAATCCTCACCTTACGCTGAACACGTGTCCGAAAATTCAAAGAAATAAAGATTTTTTTGCCAAATCAAAATTTTTTAGCGTTGTTCAATTCTATAAATTGGATTTGTACATGTTTGAAGTGAATTTGATGAATTTCAATTCTGTCATTAATTTTTATTTTTAATTTTGGCCGCCCTGTTTGGATCAAGGGCGCTAGGGCAAAAATTGGTGTTTTTTTTTTTTGCCGTTAGACTCTGTTATATTGGTGTTTTTTAAACGTTAGAAACTGTTTAAACTGTTACGTATCTGTACTGCTATGTGCTGGCTTGATTTGTTCAGTTTTCCCGTCTATATACGCCAAAAATATTGCTGTGACCAACGGTTCAATCGTACATAACGAACTGACCGCTTACGTAAGCGTACGCGTCGGTTAATAAGTTAATAAGTTAATCCAAATCCCCTAGAATAACCAAGAATGAACATTGTGAAATGAAAACTGAACAAATCAAGCCAGCACATAGCAATACAGATAGGTAACAGTTTAAACAGTTTCTAACGTTTAAAAAACACCAATATAACAGAGTCTAACGGCTAAAAAAAACACCAATTTTTGCCCTAGCGCCCTTGTTTTGATGATACTAGATATCATCCAGCGAGTTTTCACCATACATTTACAGTAAAATATTGGTAATTACTTCGTTCGCTCATAGCTCGTTTTATAAATTCTCTAATGCTCCAATTTTTGGCTCAGCGTTGTATTATAAGTAGCTTTACATGGTCATAAGGATTGTTTTTTGATTGGCACCAAAAAGTACATTAGCACCATCAAAATACACGTGGCTGAAAACGAAAAATCAGTGTTTCATATATAAATTGTTTGCACTCTAATTAACAAAGTTGTACAAATTAGTGCAAAGTTTTTTAGGAACACTGAGGTCTACTGAACTTACTTTTGCAAATGTTTGGACTTGATTTTTTTAACAATGTTTTTGACGGATATTATGGTATGCTCTCTATTGACTCGTGCTGACTTTAAAGTTCGTGACCCTTGTGTCGCCGTTTCGGGGTCATTTCGCTTGTCGGAATTTTATCCTCAACATGCAGGGCCTCATTAAATAGAATTGTGATATCTATTTCATTTTTAGCGAATCGATTGTCAGCTTATCCATCTCTGTTAGCAAATTTTTGAAATGTATTGTTGTCTGTTTGTGCTTGTCACGCAATGAGTTATTGCTCTTCTTTTTCTAGGTTGTACAGTAAGAAAAACAATGATTGAATAATAACATCAACATAGAAATATCGTCATGAGTTTTAAAGAACGTGAAATTAAAATAGGCTATAGCTATTGAATTAACTAAACTTAAGACAAAACAACCTTTGAAACGACTACTTGACTGATCAAAGACAGGGTACACGGCTAGCTTACAGATAGAGTGTCAATCGTTGCTACCAGAGTCTATTTTATCTTGGTATTTTTTACGGGTGGGAAAATGTCACCCTCGTTCCCGCCTAAAGAAGGGAGAGAAAGAGGAGAGACTCTGTTGTTCACATTAAAGTTACGAGGTTTTGCTGAGGGAGGAAAACCCGAACCACTGGAGACTTGAGGAGATAAGCCAAGTTTAGGAATAACATGGCCCTCCTAGCTTTGTTCTATAAAAAAATTGAAAATATTTATTACGAAATCTACTCACTTCTTATTTGTCTTCACTATACTTCACAGTATCCTTGCACAAAGATGATTGTTAATGACTATGCACTGGATAGATAGAATACAAGTTGTCGGCTGATGGGCATTATTCAAGCGGCAGCCATGTTGGATTGAACAATAGATTCCACCACGCGTAGCCTCAAATTCGAGCGCTTGAGAATAAGTTTATGCTGGGGAAATAAAGGTTTTTATTCTCATGAGAATAAACATGGCCGCCGTGTGATAAAGGTCCATTTAAAAAAATCATGACTCAATATCGGTTCTGTTTGGCTGGCGTCATTGCCAGCTAAGTCCGTCACGCTATCTCAAGAACTGCCCTACGTTCAGGGGAGGGGGGGAGGGATGGGGATGGGGTAACAACCTAGATTTTTTAGGGTAAGCCGATGTGCCGTCGTTGGGGTCCGTTGGATTTGGTTTTGCGTTGATTATACTCTTCGAAACCCTGCTGTGGCGGGCAGAGCCTCCTTTAACTCTTCTGTGTCAGAGGAGTCAAAGAAGGCTTCGCTAGACTTTCGTAATGTCCTCCATCGAATTACGTTTTGCTCCGTTTAAAGTCGCTAAAAACCCGCGCCATTTTGCCTGCAAAGATGGCGCTTTGCTTAGCATTTCATTATTTCGACCCGCAATACACTGATCATGATAGCTTTGTGTTTGTAACAATGGGGTAGGCCCTTTAGTCGGCCTTCCACCGACTAAGGCTCAGGGCAAACGTCGGACTAACTATTTAACATAGGTTCGTTCGGTGGAAGGCCGACTAAAGTGCCCACCTGGCGGCAAACGTCGAACCAATGTCGATCTTAATTTACTTCCCCATTGTTACAAACACAAAGCTTTCATGATCAGTGTATTGCGGGTCGAAATAATGAACTACTTGCCGTAGTGAGTAATATTGAATACATTATTAATTCTTAATTGCTGGTTTTCACATGACGTCATCAAAACATCAAATGTCGGTGCATAAGTTGCTTCGTATACTGCGCGGATCAACTCTATTTGATAGTTTATATATCGTATACAACACAAACACGAATGCTGTATATGGATTAACAAACGTCTAGGTTTATAGTTCCTTTGTGTTTCACTAAATGTTCAAGATAATAGTGAACTCTGCCCAAAATATAAAATCCAAGTTAAAGTTTATGGAAGTAGACATACATATATGAATTAAGGGAGTGTTTGTATTTGATATGGGGACGAGGGGGGGGGGGGAGGGTAAGTGGGGGGCTGCGTTGGAGATCAGTTTGTCTTCTAAATATTCACAAATACCAACGGTACAGTAAAAAATGCACAACTTCGCTTACAAATTCAACAACACAAACACGGACTTTCACTGGAATACATGAATATTAACGTGAATATGCACAAAATCGAGGCTAAACATGATTGCACATTACGTCATCGCGGCCTCTCGTTGGCTGTAACATCGCTTCGTGCACTGCGGACCTTCATTCAAGAGGGTCGTGTCATAGTTTGGATCAAGGTAGGTCATATATAACTTATCTCTTGGTCCATTTTCTTACATTGTTTTGTACAAAGTACATGTTTATTATTAGAGTGCATACAATATATCCATGCGAAAGTTAACTAACAAAATTGTACGAATTTATATATAGTGCAAAGTTTCGTAAGTCTCCGATCTACTGAACTTACTAAGTTGTATAATGTTGTAATGTGTGCAATTTCTTACAAAGTTTTTTAAATATGTTGATCAATCAACCCTGGTTGCAGAATTCATTTTGTAACGCTTTCAAGATGATTTTATGTGAATCAATATGATATCCAAAAATCCATTCCCTTGCGCCGTAAAATTATYTTTACTATAAGTTATGTACTTCGCTCATTTCGCAACCCGCTAAATATATCTTGGGCATTTTTGTATTTTCCCAATAGCCTACCAGGACATCAGGATGTTGAAATGTCTCTTACTTATTCAATTCCATCTCCATCAAATACTTTAGATAATCGAATTCCGTGTTATTGCATAATAAAATTGGCAGCCATACCTTTGTATTCCCGGAGTGTGTCCGGAGTGTGTCCGGAGTGTGTCCGGAGTGTGTACAACTGTGGCAGTCGGCACAGCTGGTGGCCGGCCACAGTCGAATAATTTTTTTTGTAATTTCTCTTGGTGATTTTGACGCCCATTTTACTAATAAGGTTTTGGCTTGGACTGCCTGTGGTTATATGGCAAAACAATAAAATCCCTTTGCTCTCGGGATTTGAATTCTTTCTTATGTAAAACGGTTGTATTGTCTGCCATCCAACATGGCTGCTGTCACATGAAGGATACAAAAACCAATCCCACGCTAATGTTCATAATGTACGGATCTTATAGGTAGACTACTGTCTTTCTCCGTAGAGAGACAGCAATCATGCCTCAAGAACCGAACGATTCTACCAACTACATGAACACTAACATTAGGATACAGAAAGAAGTATCCAAGGACCACCAACTGGAGAAGCTAGAGGACAGAACTGATAAAGGCACTTACACCTTGGACACCTGGAAATCTATCTATCTTGGTATGAATCAGGGTCCTGATGGGGATAAGTAAAAATAAGTAAAAATCACTTTCATAAAGTGTCTAGTTCTAGCGCTTTCGCACTAATTGGGGACACTTTTCGCTAACTCACCCTACCACTTCGTTTAATATTCTATGCCGGCACAACGCTCAACTCACATGTTGATCTTTACGGAGGGAGAAAACACCTCATTTTATCATTTACTAGAAATTGAATCATAGTTTACATTTAAAATACCTCCTGGATTAAGACCCCTCCTTCAGGACCCTGGTGAAAGAACATTATATTAGGGCTCGATTAAATTGCAAGCACTCAAACGGACAATATACACTTCTAAAATATGTAGTGTCAATCCCATGTTCAAGTAATGTATCAATCACCTGAAAGAATGTTTTATCCAATATTCAAACACAGAGAAATGAACAGGACGTTTGCAAAATGGCGTTATTGACTTCTACTACCAGACTCCCTTGTATAATTTCTCTTGTTGAGTGAATTAGCACCAATTGTCTTGCTATTGTCATGAGAAAATACGAATCTAAATAGGAAAGAAAATTCGCGAAGCATCTTGGTAGTGGGAGTCAAATGACGCCATCATGCACTGAAACGTCGTATTCAACAGAGAAAAGCAGAGCCGAATTTCTTTTTAGCCAGCTTCGAGGTGTTTGGATAAAGGATGAGACATTCTTTCAAACTATTCTTGGAGAAATTCAAAGCATAATTTTCCCAAATTTTATGCTAGTTAAAATCACATTTTCAAACCTCCTTCACTCTAGTGATTTTAATTATTTTGTCCTCATGTATTATTAATGAATTCGTTTGAGAATTATTTTTTTTATATCTTTGTTCATCTGTAAATAAATTATAATTGTCATTATTTTCAGGAAAGTATAAAACTCGCTGGCGTGGATGTATATTAATGAAAAGCCCTTTTCTTATCGTCACCTATCAACAGCTGTTCTGGGATGTCAAGCCTCGTACGGTACTGGAGTTTGGAGCAAACAGCGGTGGGTCAGCGGTATGGATGGCTGACACACTTCAAATGTTTGGCTGTAAAAGTCATGTTTACTCTGTGGATATCRACCTTGGTTTACTGGAACCACTGGCGAGGGAGAAGAGAAATGATCTGACCTTTTTACAGGGAGACTGTAATGAAATCCAGAAGACTTTCCCGCCTGAAATGCTCAAGGTTTGCAAGAACAAGACTTCTTAAATATCTAAAATATCTCACAAAGATGTTTTGGCTGCTGGGGTGTAGCTAGCTCTAAGTCCAATGCAATGCACAGATGAACATATTTTGATGGTTGATGGTTTTGTACTTTTTGTGTAATACGACAGTTTCGTAACTGCAATAGGACGTTTGCATGATGGTGTTATTTGACTCCCACGTAATCAAGATGCTTCGCAAATTTTCTTTCTTATTCAAATTTGTATTCCCTCATGAGAGTAGTAAGACATTTGTTTTATATTAAAAAACTTGCAAAAATATGAAGATATTTTTTCTTTCTTCGATGTTACTTCGTTCATTCATTGCTTTGTTTCTTAGTTGGTTCGCTTTTTTATTCTTTCGTTCGTGCGTTCGTTTCTTTCGTACCGTTCGTTCATTCCTTTCCTCAATCCTTTGTTCTTTCCTTATTCATTCATTCATTCATTCATTTACTTATTTGAATTCAGAGTTTACCACACCCTTGGTTCGTGTCAGAGGATTCACACGTGAACGTGGTCGGTGTTCTAGACTACATTGATCAATTCACGGAGCCTGGGGACTACATSGCCATCGAAGACACCAACCCACTGGCCCCTACAACGTCTGGCGCGAGTCTTTTCGATGACGTCAAATATGAAGAATGGGGACGAGAAAAACTAGAGCATGTTGAAGCATTCATGAAGAAACATCCAACTCGCTATCTTATTGATAAAGAATACACCGACTTCTTTGGGTAAGTGAAGAATAGCAATAGACCCATCTCAAAATTTATCTTGGTTGAGTGGATTCTAACTGTTATGCGCAAACGCTGACAGAAATATAACATGCAAATTAACCTAATATATTGGATTCAAGAACTCCGTGGTTTTAATTGGTGTTCATTAAACCAAACTTTAATTTTATTTACCCTCGGAGTTTTTGAATAGCTACTGATAAGATGAATCCATATTTTTCAGATACAATGGATCAGAAAATATGAACGGATATCTTCGCCGTATCTGAATCGTCTGTATTCATCACCGGCGTATTTCAATAAACACCAAGTTATCAGTGTCCACACGTTGCGTATTTGTCATTTCTATATATATTCAGAAGGCTAGAGAGGGTGGTATCCTTTGCTACGGCGCTTTCTTGATTACTCGATGCTTGATTGAACGACTCGTATGTATATATCTCCCTTGCCGTAACGAAAGTTTGGGCTTCCTGTGGTTTCGGACGTTTGATGTAGCGCGCGATTTTAAAATTGAAGGCAGCTGGAAAGTGTTTTGTGCTTTCACATATACTCAATATTTTGAATTAAACAAATTAATATGGCTATAATATGACAGCAATTAAACTCGGAAAGCCTCACACTATAAGCCAAAGATCACAAAGAGCATAACAAAATGATGTAAGACGTTATTTTGTTATTCCATCAAAAACGTTAATTCAAAAAATCATAACTCAGGAACCAAACGGTGAATTTTTTTAAAAACCGGAATTTTTAAACTTTGTATCGTAATCTTCTTTTTGGCGGAATTCGTTAAAATTAATAAATTTCCCTCTTACAGAGTTTTTAAATTTTTTCGAAAACATGAACCAATTCAAAGCCATATGCAAAATTTGAAGAAATGACACCTTAGAGTTTTGATCTTTTTTAGTTTGAATATCAAAAATTTTGAGAACATCTTTTTTTTCAAGTGCTATGTCATCCGACTTAGATTGAAGAAAAACTGTTCCGAGCCTCCTTAACTAAAAACGTTCCTCTTGGTCAGCACCGAGAAAGGAGGACAAGAGGAACGTGAGCTGTGGGTCATTAATATTGTGAAACCCAGAGATATAGACTTTGGGGTTCCTGTGGAATATTACTTGTACACGCCTTCATTCAAGGGAGTCTTTTGGTCGCTTCGGAACAAGGTCAGTCTATTTTGCTACATTCCTTTGTACAAAATGCATGTTATTAAATTATTCTGCTTGCAGAGGTCTTTGTACAATTTCAAGATGATTTATTTCATTTCTATTTTGATGTATATGATATACACTTGATGTCTGCTCGCGACGAAATAGTTAATTTCGTTTTCCCGAGCCTCGATGTTTAACGAGGCGAAGCCGAGGTACCATACATTTACGGTCTTGTATGTGTATTTCTCTACCAAAAAGCGAGGAGAGTACCAACAGCATTTTTAGTCGCTTTTTTCGTATTTTCCGAATCCTTTTTCTCAATGAAAGTCTGTAATTTCTCTGTAGAAAGACTGGGAAATATCTGTTGTTTTGCTTCGAGCTCCATTTATGCTGAAAATTCAAGCAAACTATCTGCTCCCGCTTTGTTGTTTGTGATTGGTGCAAAATATCACGCCACCAGCGTTTTTCACGTTTTGATAACGTGCACTGGTTTATTTTTACCATTCTTGTCACGTGCAACTTATTTCCCGAGCGGGAAATATTAGGTTACTTATTTCCCGGTCGGGATACATTTAGATTTAGGTAGTGTTACATAGGCATCATTCAACCAATGAGAGTGTTCGTTATATCAGAACATTTCGTAGCTATATATAGGCTTTTTCTTGAACGATCGATTTTGATCAGGCTTTCTCAGTAGTGTAGAAAGAAGAACAGAGCAAGCAGCTATTACCGAATCCATTACTGACACCAGATTTAATATATTAACTCTGCTGACACTAACTCTCAGCCCGATCTCCTAACCTTTACTTTCTTCTTTAACAATTTAGTAATTACTAGGAATTAATATATTTTGTAATTCTTTCTGTTAGGACCCTAGTGAAAACCACTTTGTGATCTATGCTTCCTCTTTGAGGATTAAATTTATAATATTCATTATTATTAACAACCGAAACTTTGATAAGACCATTAATCTTACAAGATCCTGGCCAAGTTTCAGACTTAACTTCGTAAAATGGTAGTCGAATTTAGGTTGGGAAACCAAACATCTCTATATACATAGCTTATATCTTAGTCTGTTGTATCAGGTGGGACACCAGGACACTGGGTCACCTCAGCTTCTGTCCTGGGTTGACCTGTGTCAGCAAAGGACACCATAACATCTCTATGTACTTATCTTATATCTTAGTCTGTTGTATCAGGGGGGATGCCTGGACACTGGGTCACCTCAGCTACTGTCCTGGGTCAACCTGGGTCAGCCAAGGACAACATAACATCTCTTTGTACTTAGCTTATATCTTAGTCTGTTGTATCAGGTGGAATGCCAGGACACTGGGTCACCTCAGCTACTGTCCTGGGCCAACCCAGGTTAGCATTGGACACCACAGTCAGTTATTGTGTTCATTGGTAAACAGTACAATAATTCTGAAAAAAAAATTAATTTAAAATCGCTATTTTAGAATTAATAACCCTAGCTCCCACCACTCCCCCCGTTATCGAAGTAAAATATATTACCTTTACCTTTTTTACCTTTTATATCCCATGCATGTATAATCTAAATTACCACCCTTTTGATTCCATGGTAGTAGATTCAACAATCTGATATAATATCAGCAAGCATAATCACTATGTTTCTGTAACCAAGTAAACTGTAATTTGAATGTCTCATTCTTTCTCAGAAATCTCAGTATGATGAATGTATGGCATCAGATGTTTTCTTCGATGAAGAAATTTTTGAATTTAATACTGTGACATTACTTTAACTTATGAACACCAAACTTTCTTTTTATCAAGAAATATGTTTTCTCAGTGCACATCCTCATAAAGACATAATAATGCACTGTTTTGCCACAAGCCCATATTTTGAAATACAATTACATCAATAGCAATAAATGTAGATAATTATAAACCGGAACTCCACACTTAAGGTGGCTGCCTACTTTTGAACATTTGAATTGATCCCACGATGTGCACGTTGCTCAAAAACCGCTGAAAAATCTACAAGATTTTATTGAAGAACCATACACGTTTTTGGCTTCAACAGGGCAAAACCCTCAAATTTTGCACGGGACTCTCTATTTTTTAATAGCTCATTCGAAAAAGCTCCTACAAATCTAGGTCATATCAACATTTTAGGAAAAGTTTAAATCCGTAACACACGAAAAAATAGATTTTTGTAGGAATTTTTGTTCGACTTTATGAGATTTTTTAAGAGCACCGAAATTACGAAACACGACAAATCAATGCATCTCTTTGTCTTTTTGTCGAAAATATCTATGTATTATTGTAGAATGATTGACTAGCCTTCATTCGTGCAATCATATAGTATGCAAATAACTATTATCTTATGAATCTTAAATTTTTTCTAATCACTTCCGGTGGTGTAATTTTCACTCCAAATGCTCGTGCATAGGCTTCCATTAAATGCTGATTATCTCGAAAACGAGCGCGGGACACCCTATTTTTCTTTCCAGATTTGGAATCAGCATTAAWTTTCAATTCGGAAAATCGAAGTTTAAAATAAAGTTTAAATCAATTTCCAAAAGTAGGCAGTCACCTTAACTAACACCAGGGCTATGTTGTTCAAAAAAGGCAATAAAACAACCTAACAAAGATTCCTTTGAAGGATTATGTATTTAGTAGTAAATATCAGTTGAGGTGACCCAGTGTACTGGCATCCCACCTGATACAACAGACTAAGATATAAGCTAAGTACAAAGAGATGTTATGTTGTCCTTGGCTGACCCAGGTTGACCCAGGACAGTAGCTGAGGTGAC